GCTGTGCCGGGACCGCTCACCCGAGCACCCCTCCAACCAGGATCGCCTGCGGACTCTGTTTCTAAAAATTCACTTTGGGGGTGTGAAATTCAAGGGGGACTCATTCTCAATTTCCAAGGCCTTTGCTCCCACCCTATTACTGCTTATATGTAAACCTAAAAATAGGTCTTAATAATCTCCAGGCCTTTTTTTCCTGTGAGTTTGGGACAAAAACAAAACAAAACAAAACAAACCCCAAAAATCAAAAACAAAAGCCTCCACTGAGAACTGGCCATGTCCTGAGACATTTCTGACGGCCACGACAGGGGGAGGTGACAGTGCCATCTGGGTGGAGGCAGAGATGCTGTTCAACACCCGACGACAAGAAACCCTCCAGCCTCATAGGCGCTGTGGGCTGAACCTGCAAAACAGACAGCCCGGGAGAAGTGGGGAGTCGGGGTAAAGGCAAAGAGCAAGGAGGGGTGGGGAGAGAGGGTGGAGAGAAGGAGGGGGACACCGACATCAGTTACTTTTTGGCAGCAAAGGAGCCGGTGGCGGCCCAGTCGGCTTCATCATTATAGAAAGCATCTGAATCCCAGGGAGCTCTGTGCCTGGCAAAGGGGGGTGCCAGGCTGAACGGGCAGAGGGAGCAGGGGCATCAAAGGGGTTGGCACCCCCTCGCCCCAGCCCTCCTCCAAAAGCCCTCTGGCCTGCCGGACGCCTCCCTGGGCTCCGCCGCCAGCACAGGGATGTGAGGGGCTGCCCTAGATTTGGCTGCTCAGATGTGAGCCTCGCACCGGCGGCTGCAGGAGATGAAAACCCAAATATACTTCCTGAAGTCAAAGAGATAAAAATACAATTTCTGCTGTGTATGGCACTCTTTCACGCTGCAGCAATACTGGGGGTGGGGGGGCATGAGCGGCGGCGGGGAGGGGTCAGGGAGGAGGGGGGCAAGAAAATGACCACACGGGCTTAAGTAAATTCCTTTTTTTGAAAGCCACGATCCAGAGAGATTACATAAAAAGTACAATTAAGGACCGCTCAGAATCCCGAGGCCTTCGAGAACGTGCTGCCTCCAAAATATTTTTAGAACAATCACTGGAGTGATTCTTCTTAGTTGTAGAAACACTCCCAATCAGAAAGTCAATTTTTCCTCTATTTGCAGAAGTGAGCTGGCTCCACTGGACGGCATGCGTGTGTTTTGCTTGGCGGCTGCTCTCCACACTGCCTTGGCAGTGTTTCCTTGGAGCGCGCACGGTGAGCCTGGCGCTCGCACATAGTAGCGCTTGCATTTCAAACGCCCCGGCCACGCTTCCCTAATAACAGCCTGGGACTGCAAAACCCCGGTAAGCCCAGCCCTTTAAATGGGGAACAGAGCAGGGCTCTCGGGCCCCTCTTGCCACAACAGGGGCTGTAAACCGGGGCTGGGGCTTTCAATAAAGATGTGAGAAGGCGGAAAATGAAACAATGCTGCCACATTCTGGGGACGGGTGCGTGCTTCCTTCTCATGCGCCCCCTATTACACACACACACACACACACACACACACACACACACAGGGGCCAAGGCCCAGCCCCGGCTGGCCCCTCCTACCCATCTGCCCTCTAGACAGGTACCAGGTTGTTTCCGGGCCTGCCGAGTCTGCACAGGAAGCGGCATGGGGACTTCAGAACCACACTGGGGCTGTGGGTCCCTGGGCTTGACTGGTCTGCTTCTCCGGCTTCTAGGCTGGGCTGAACATGAGGGAGTGAACTAAGTGTAAGCTGACTTTCCCTCTCCCCAAGTGGCATGAACCCCTGCATGGGGGTCTAGAGCACGCATGTAAAGAACGTTACATCTGATCGGTGCTCAGCAGAGGAAGTTACTGCTAAGAAGGTGAATGAGTGAATGAATGAATGAGCAAAGGAATGAAAGAGCAAGGGAATGAATGAGTAAGGGAATGAATGAATGGCAGCAGGATGGAGCTCAGAGGGAGATAGAGGAGAACTACTCAGGAATCCACCCCTTCCTTCACTGATCAGTAGCCATGGTACCGCCCTCGGAGGGAGATGAGGAGGCCAATCGGGAGATAAGGAGGCGGGGTGGGGGTCATCAGTCAAAAAGGGGACATCCAGGTACAATTTCCAGCCCTCCCCAGCCAGAATCAAGAGATGCAGCCATTCCGGCCTCTCGGCACTGGCTCCTTCCTTCTTTCTTTCTCTCCGTGTTGTTTACAAAGGTTTCATTATGTTTTCAACTAATCAGAAAGGCCCCGCTAATACACAATTAACATGTGATTATAAAAAAAAAAATTAAAATAGCTTCCAGAAGAAGGAAATGTAATTAAGTAGAGAATGCTTTTCAATAAGTGCTTGCTTTAACCCATTGTCAGAACACAGTCTACGGTTCGTCCACAATGCCTAGAACAGATGCCAAGGGCAGAATGTTAAAAGCAAATTGGAAAAAAAAAAAAAAAGGACATTATTTTCTGGGGGAATAATAACCATCGACTGGGCAGAACACGCTAGAGAACTCAGCTTCTGCCTGCAGAGGGGTGACCTCCCCCAATCCCCTTCACCACCCCCTTCTGAAAAAACTGCTTTCCTTGTAAAAAAATATGAGTGAGTACACCCAAATCTAGGGTAAGAAGTATAACTGAGTGAAGAAACAATAGTCAAAACACGTAACATTTACAAACTCCACTGTTAACGAGAAGCTTTAGTCCAGACCACGAAGATCGTTTGATGTCCTACTTCTTAATCAACTCTATGATCATTTTGTTTCAATCATTTTGGCCAAATCTCTGAAGGGATCAGACTTTAAAAACCCCAAGTCAAAAATGGGGTTTTTTAACCTCCTGTTCAAGAAGCAAGCTGAAAACTGAGGCATTTTATTTTCCCTCCTTTCCTACAGCCACCTCAAATCGATGCCTTATGCCAACGAGATCCAGCCATTTTATCAGCCCCTGCGCTTGTCAACACGAACGAGGGCATCGCAGGTTTTGATGGTTTCTGCCAATCAATGTGGCCCCAGAGCAAACTGCAAATGCAACAAGTTCCCAAAGGAACGGGAAGTCTGTGACAAACGGGTATGTCCCTGCACACGAAGCATCTGGTCTTCACCATAAGTCTCCTAAACATGATTCGGAAGAAGAAAAATCTGGAAACTGAGGGCTGGGGGTAGGGCTGCCACACGAGGTTCCCGTCCCCACTCCTCCCCCTCTGGAACACAAACATTTCCAGTCCCAGAGTGTCCCCAGTGGCGGAGGAAGCTGTCAGTGCATGGCCTGCACGGGCTCAGAAAAACACCCAGGTCTGGTGGGCCAGGTCTGCCGAGGAGCTGGGATTTTTGGACCCCTGTTCACAGTGGGGGTCAGAGCCAGGAGCCGGGGGGCACATACTGCCCCACGCATCCTATGGGTTTCTGGTCCAGGCTCAGCAGTTTTTAGCTGGATGACCCCAGGCAAGGTACTCAACTTCTCTGTGCCTCTCATTCAGTGCGGCATTCCTCATCTGTAAAATGGGCCCAAGAGGAAGGTCATCTCTCTCTCTGCTCTTTAGGGGAGAAAAGTAAGACTCATATGGTTTATTTAGGAGGCTCAGGGTCCGAAGGGAAGCGCAAGAGCCGAGACCCAGGCCAGGACAGTCTAGTGCAAGAGCCAATCACCTTTACCACAGAACTTACTGCCCTCGATGACGACCCCCCCAGAGAGCGGACAGAATCGCACCTCGGGCACCAGGTCATCAGGGCCTCGTTCCCCTTACAGTGGCCCCAGAGGTATGGACTTTCATTACGGTTCAAAGATGAGGAAGCCGAGGCTGAGGACTGGCTCACGCCTGCCTAAGGCCACCCAAATCGTGAAACTGAGGGTAGGTGACAGGCAGGGTCGCCCAGTCCCCACCCCCGACCAGTACCATATGGGGAACCCAAGGCTGCCCAGTGTGGAGAAAGGCCTCCTCGAGGTCACACACCAGCCAAGTCCTGGCTCCTGACCCTGGAACCTCCCCGAACCACCACAGGCACCAACATGGCCACCCCAGAGCTCCTTCTGGAAGGGAAGGAAGAGAAGCTGCCAATGGCGCCCCGTCACACCCTGTGGGTCCTCTGCGGGGCTCCCCCAGGACCCGTTTCCCAGGTGAGGCCAGAAGGAAATGGAAGCGGACACATCCATGTGGACATCCCCATCCCAGCGTCCTGCCCCCGCCCCACCACACTTCCCTGGGACACAGCTCCCCAAAACAATGGCCTGCGCCCTCACTCAGGCACTCCCTGAGCATCTCAGTGCCTTCAGTCACCTTTGCTAGGCTTGTCACCCCGGATTCCAGCCGGAGAACCCCAGAGTTAGAGAGGTCTCTGCCCGAGGCCACACACCCCGGGGCCTGAAACCCAGGTGTCGCTCACAACAAAACGCACGCTTCTCCCTCCCCCCCCCCCCCGGGGACAGCAGGCAGGCCTCGTGGGAATAGGAGCCTCGTCCTCTCCACCCAGGACACTTCATCACGCGGCGCTGGCTGACGACGCATAGTAGGTGCTTGCTTCCCCAACACCTGCTTGACTCCACTGAAACGCCTGCCCGCCGCCCAGAAGAGCCGTTAACATTCTGCAGTTGGCGCCCGCCCCTTGCGTCTGCACGGCGCAGCAAGGGCTGACAATTCTTGCTAGATAAATATCTGGAAAGAAGTCGGGAAACAATTAAAACTAGAAGCTAATAAATGATGAAGAAGCCCATGGGCCAAGTCCTGGCCCACTTCCCAGGCTTCATTCATGCATCAAAAAACCCCAGCGGTCCGAGGCTTCGAGAGGGCAGCTGGGCAGTGGGGCTGTCCGACGTAACATAAATGGGAATTAGATATGATCGAATGTACTCACTGCATTCCCAACAGCAGCCCCTCTCCCCCGGCTCCCCTGCCCGTGGCTCCCCAGCCAAGCCCCTTCTGGGGAGCTCTGGACAGACGATCTTGTAACCAGGCAACCAGGAGGAAAGGTTCCAAAGTTCCTCCACAGGAACAAGGAAGCCGCATTCTGCTCTGGTGGCTACTGGGACACAGCACCGTGACCCTCTCTTCTAAACCTTAAGAAAATGGGGAGGGGGAGCACTAGCTGTCCCCCCAGCACGAAGACTTAAATGCCCCGGCGTCCCCTCTTCCCCTAGCAAGGTAGCTGGGCCAGCCAGCTCCGCGGGGAGGCAGCCCCATGCCCTCTCCAACAACCACGGCCACCAATGCGTCCGCAGCCAAAAGTCCCAGGATGTAGCCTTTCCAGGCTCGTACTTAGCAGCAAGCCTTTCCCCCTGACAATGCACCATCTGCAGCTGCTATCTGGGAAATGCTCCCAAGATTCCAGGACACCCAAAGCCTCAGAGGTTCAGAGGGCTCAGCTGCACCTTGGGGAAATACGTGCCCATGGTCAAGGAGACGTGCCTTGTGTCCACAGGAGAGGGAGAGACAGAAAGAGGATCTTGGAGCCCCGACAATGACAAGAAGCCCTGTGTGCGGTGAGCCTGTGCACCCATCCACTCTGCAAAATCCAAATGCTGCGGAGCCCTATTAGACGCCTCAAAAGCCTAGCTAGGTCTTTCGTTGGGCATTTGGCATAAGCCGGGTGTTCTGACATCCCAGGTGCCACTGCATCCTCTGCAGTTAGGGAAGTGTTGTGACTGTCATGCTGAGCGTGGTAACAGCAGGCTCGGGGCTGGAGGGGGGGACGAGGAACCTTCACCAGGAGCCTCCTCTGTGCTAGAACTCGGCCTGAAGGAGCTGTAGACATAATCTCGTGCACTTCCTTCTCACACCGGGAGTACACCCCGGCCGGAGATGCAGAGCCAGAAGCCAATGTCAGGTCTTTCCGTCTCCCTAGCCCGTGCTCTGAGAAGGTACCAGACACTGCTTTTGCTAACAGTCATCTCTTTGGCGCGTGTACAGGATTACAGATGGAGGTATCGGGTCGGACGCAGTAGGCAGAGAAGCAAGAAAGAGACCACAGGCAGACAGGCACATGGACAGAGGGCCCAGCACGTGCCAGGCACCGCCCTGGGGCCTGCAGAACTCTCTCGCCCCTTCCTGCCAGCCAGCCGAGGTCAGTATACAAAGGGAGGGGGGTCCAGACACTCTGAATTCAGGGCTGACCTATCATTGTATTTCTTCCCCCAGCAACCAATGGTGCGCTTAATAAACAAAATGAGGGGAGCTGGGAAATTAGAAACTGGGAAGAGAATTCCTCCCCCACCCCAGAAGCAAGCCTCTAGGGAAGACATGAAGACTCTGTTGGGGGGAGGGGGCAGGTATCATCCGTACATCTAATGAGGTTCCTCTGAACACCAAGATGCACACACACACAAACACACGCACACACGCATGGACACATGCACACACATTCACACGCACACACACTCACGGACACACGCACACACATTCACACGCATGTAGACTCACACATGCACACACGCATGTGCACACATACATGCACAACACGCACATATATATGCACGCATACACAAATGTGCTCGTGTACACATGCACGCACACACTACACTTGCTCTTCTAGCTGCACTTAGAAAGTGTGAGTCTAACACCTCTATCTGAATGGAAATGACCACACAGCCAGAGATGGGGCTCACAGAGGGAGAGGGGGAGATGCAGAGACCCGGGCCACCAACTCAACAAATGTCCCACTTGCGATGCATGCACCCCAGCCCCAGAGGAGGAAGGCCAGGGCACCACAGGCGCCCTGACTCCCAATGTGGAGCCACAAGCAGAGAATAGAAATAATATTGATAAAAAGAAGACGCCTCCTGACGGCGCAAGGGTACTGAGCCACTTTGGAAAGCTATCCACCATGGCGGGACTGACACAGTCATGTGCCCCTGTTATATTGAAGGGCTGAATGGTTTTCTGGGAGGTACAAGGAGGGGCTATGAAACCACAGGGTTGTCAGAGCCCGACAGAGGGTGCCCGGCTAGAAACTTCTCCTTCCAATCAGCAAAAGTCGCCATAACTTTTGAAATCAATGGGATGGGGTCTGAGTTTTAAAGGAATACTTTCTTCTTGTAGAAAACATTACAGATGCAGACCGGGATACAGACGGAGACAGACAACCAAAGTCACTTCTTGTCAAGACACGCATACACACACACACACACACACACACCCCTACCAACTGAGCTCTTACCACATACAGTTTTGGTTTGAGCTTTTCTCTCCCGGAGTTAGGCTGGAAGCATTTTCCCACGTTGCTAGAGGCACTGTGAAGTCATTATTTTTGGTTGCTATGCGATGTTCCACCATATGACCAGGAGACCGCACCTTCTAACTATCCTCCTCCCTCCTGCGATCTACTGGCTTCCAGAACTTTCCACCATTACAAGGAGTCCGCAGGTGTGTGCACAGGTTCTCCTGCACGGCCCTGGAGAGCCATCAGGATGGGGCCCCATATGCGGTTCAGGGGTACAAAGCACCTCACGATGTGCTCCCAGTGACACCCCAGCCCCCCAAAACCCTGCACCTCTGGACCACTCACCCTAACCGGGTGCAAGAACAGCTGGCTGACCCCCCACGCCTGGGTCAGCACACGCCAAGAAAACTTCACATCTGATCACTAATTTTGGAAAAAGCTCCCCTGGCTGGGCGGGCAGGCAGGTGGTTCTCCTGGCCCCTGCCAGGTTCATGCCCACCGCGCCTGGATGGCGGTCTCCCCGGCATAGCCTGGGAGCTAGCCCAGCGCAGAGGACACACCAGAGTGCCTCTCTCCCGACTCCCTGGCGGCTGCCAACTCCCTTCTCAGAATGACACTGTGCGTGGGGCCATTGTCCACAAATGATCATTTTTCAAAAAACAAACAGAAGAGGCGAGTCGCGGATACTTTTGCGCAGTGCTTGTCCGCTTCCTGAAAATGCGAGATAATGAATAAAAATGTTCATTACGGAATTATTCACTTTCCTCCCTGATGCACGTCCTGGTAATTACCGTGACCAGCCTAATAAAAACTGCTACAAACCGAAGGTCAACTGGCAGTTGGAAGTGTTCGTTTTCATTTCAGTGTATTCATCTCTGGCTCCTAATGGCCTCATTTTCTCCCATGCTCCTTAATAAATACCACTGAATTACAGGTTAAATAGCTAAATTAAATTATTGCAATTACAGCGTGCAGAGCCCTGAATCTGGGTTTACCTTTCCCAGTTCAATTAGAGGCGAGGTTTCAACAGCCACGGAATTCCGATCGCTGTCAATATTCTCAATTGCTGAGAATGTGTGCGGACGCCCAGATATTTGGTGAGAGGGTTTATTCCCCGGGCTTGTTTCTGAGGGGCTGATTGGAGCTCTCAACTGAAACAAAATCACACAATCAAAAGTGGTTTTTGGAAAGCGACCACAAGGCGTAATTGATTCCTTTCGACTGAAAGGGGAAAAGACTTAGCAGGGTTCTGGCTAAACGCTGTGTGCGTGCGTGCGTGTGCGTGTGCGTGTGCACAAAAGATCCCCCCCACCCCCGTCTTCTGAAGGGGTGAGTACGTTTCAATAAATCCGGATCCCCGCTCTTCGTGCCACTGGCCCACAATTATTCTACAGGTCCACATTAAAGAGCTTCCTCATTATTTAAATATATTCTAACGCCTGTTGCTATTGCCTCGCCACAGGATTAATTATCCAGGATCCCTTATAAGACAGAGTGTCTTAATAATACGGAGTGCCTGGGAAGGGAGAGGGGGAAAAAAAATCTCGTCTGTTCTGTTTCCCCAAATCCCAAGATGTGAGAGTCTATTTCTTGTGGAAGAGCTCCCCCTTACTTCTCTGTCCCTCTGCTTCTGAAGGCACCAAATCCCACCGCAGGCAGGGCTCTTGCCTTTTTTCTTTTCTTTTCTTTTTTAAAGCAATCTTATTAACACACAGCACGGGTGAGCAGTGAAACCCCACTCGGCCCACCCGTGAGTGTAGTGTTTAGAAATCTGGGATGCGGCGGGGACCCACGTCATGGGGGATAGAGAGCCCACCCACTTCCCCGGCCCCCAAACCCAGGCCGGGTCAGACTTGAGGGGTGAGCCAGCTCCACTCTCTGCTGGTGGGCAGAGAAGGGCCCAGCAGAAGTCCCATCTGGAAGGCTCACATCCCTGCTCAGAAAGCCCAGAGCTGAGCCGGTGCCCTCAGCCAGGGCCAGGGGACACGGGTGGCGACAGAGGCCCCGGGCACAGCAGCCATTGGGCAAGGGGTGAACTCAGCACGCTCTGTTCAGGAGCTCACATCTGGGAGCCCTCCAACCACGACAGGCCTATTGGGGGGGGGGGGGCGGACGCTTTGTCTCCTCCCCAGAAAGGTGGGCGATCCTCTGCCCCAGCCCAAGGAAGCCACCTTGCATGGGATACTAGAGTGGAAGGCATCTATTTTCACACCACGTGGACTGGCTTGGTCCACACAGGGTCCATCACATCACTCCTCCACACAGGGTCATGGCCAGAGGGCCCTGGGGTCCCCTAAAAACGCATGTGCCCCTGGGACAGGGCAGGAGGCTGGCATGGACACTTCTGGACCGGCCCACAGTGGAAACTGGGAGACCACAATGGTTGCACTCAAGGACAGGGCCTCCCCCAGGCCTGGCACAGAGCAACCATTGGTCAGTATTTGCTGACCCAAACCACATGCAAAGCACCCCCTCCCGCCCCATCCTCAGCCAGCTGCCTCAGGCAGCCCTTAGAGCCTTTTTCTTTCCAGACCAGACTTTGCTGACAGAGAGAAGTTGGCAAGGCCAGCCAGGCCCAGTGTGGTGGGGGGGAGCCCCGGCGTCCAGGTAAGATAGAGCGTGGACGCACATCACCCCAACTTTCCAGGCACCCAGTGGTTTCCTAAGGGCAGGATCCACACAGCAGGGCACCCAGTTTCCCAAGAGAAGTGGCCAGTGGCCCATCAAATATTTCCACAAAGGAAAAAGCAACATGAGCCAGAGATTTCTAGCCCTGGAAGTCAAACCAAGACTCACTTTAAAGAATGTCTGAGAAACAAATTGACCATCAACTGCTTAAAACCAATCAGTAGTTGAAATGCTATCACAAGAGTTACACTTCAAATACTAGGGGTTTGGGGAGTTGGGGGGCCACAGGGTATCAGGGCAACCTTCCCAAATACCAGGCACACTTGCACCTAGACCCTTCTTTAAACCTTGCAACCACCTGATGTAACAGGTACCATTTTTGTTATCATCATCACCATCAGCAGCAGCAGCAGCATCTCACTGGGGGGGTGGGGAGAGGGGGAGGAGAGGGCAGGGTCCCATCCTTCCAGTTTATTGATGAGAAATCTAAGGCTCAGAGAGGTGAGGGGACTTATCCAAGGTTGCACAGCCAGGGATCCTTAGGTGCCTATCAAGGGCTGCCTCCTGGGGAAACAGCAGACCCCCATGCTGGGCCCCTGAACTCACCCTGATCTGCTGCCAGTGACCTTCTCCACCCCCTCTGCCCTCACTCATGGGCACCCCAACATCAAGCCACTGCCGTTACTCCTGAGTCCCAAAAGAGTCTCCTCCTACCCCCAGCCCCACCCCCAGGCGGTCCCTCTGCCTCACAAGGCCTCTCCTGCTCTGTACCGCTGCGGAATGTTTCTGCCTCCTTCACGACCGGCTCAGATCCCCTTCTGTAGCTCCCCGCCTTCCCTGAAGGTCCTTGGATGTGCCACACCGTCCCCTGTGGGGCTCCGGGCACCACACCCGTCTCAGTATCCTGGCACCTGCAAGGCCGGGGGCTTCAGGTACCACCCCGGTGGGATGCACCCACAGCACCAGTCACACACACTGGCCTCCGTGCAAACACCCAGGGCCGTTTATTTGTTCTCGGGAAAGCTTTCTATGTGGCAGAGCCCACGAGGGGCTCCCCAAGCCAGCCCCTGCTCGTCAGAGAAGGTGCAGGGAGCACTTTGCTGGTCAGCCGGATGCATCTTGGAATGAAAAGGGAAGCCGGGGGTCCCCCCTCCTGAAGCCGTTTCAGCCCACGAGGGCCGCTCTAATGGCTCCACAGACTGGGCAGCTCGCAAACACTTATTTCTCACGGGTCCAGAGGCCGGGAGTCAAAGATCAAGGTACCAGTAGATGCGGTGTCTGGTGAGGGCCCCCTTCCTGGTTCTCGGAGGGACGCTTTCCTGCCATGGCTGAAGGGATGGGGGGCGCTCTGGGGTCTCTTTATAAGGGGGCACTAATCCTCATGACCTCCTCAAGCCTCTGCCCCCTAATACCATCACTTTGGGGGTTAGGATTAAACACCTGAATGGGGGGAGGGGGACACAAATATTCAGACCACACCACCACATGACAGCTCAAGGGATGAAGGAGGGGACTCACAGGGCTGAGGGGAAAGCAACAGCCCCTCCCCCAAATGCTCCCCCCAAGGCCAGGGCAGGCCCTGGGCAGACAGAAGCCGCCACCTCTCAGCCACTGGAGGCCACGTCCAACAGCGCTCGTGAGTGCTGGGCAGTTTGACCCCGCAGCCTCACTCAGGCCAGCTCACCATGGGGACAGTGGGGCAGCAACGTGGAACAAACCTGCGGTCTAATGTAGTTCTTCCCCTGCTAAGTGACCTGAACAAGACCCTTCCCCTCTCTGGACCTGCATCCCTGGTGGGGCAGGGGTCAGACCAGAAAACTGGGCCTCGTGGTCCAAGTCCTCTGGGGGAGGGGCAGCCACCGGAAACCTAGGTCCCTAGAGAATCCCACGGGGCCCCTTCATCCCCCGTCCCGGGCTGTCCACTACCCACCCCCGCTGTGACAGAAGAAATGGCAGCTGCCTTTTCCAAGCCCCCAGCGGGCCCGGGCAGGAGGCCGGACCCCTCCACGCACCCTCTCAAATATCGCCCACTTCCCAGGGAAGCTCAGACACTGGAGTGCCACACCGCCGCCCACCAGCCCCTCCTCGTCCTCTGTGGCCTCAGCAGGGCAGAGCAGGTCTTCATGGCAAGCACCGAACGGAGGGTCCGCACCTGTGAATCCTGTCTACGCCTCAGCAGAAACAGCGCACACATCCTCAGGATGTGGGATGGACAGAACACACAGGGCCGTGTCCGCGGCCTTAATTTCTCAAAAGTCAACTCAAGATGGGTTTCTCTTCTGCGTGTTTGTTCAACAAGCATTTCCTGAGCAC